AAATATTTTTGGCTTTGAGATCCAAACAAAGACTGTTTTTAAAAAATGAACTAAACAAATCTATTCAAGAAACTCACCGTAAAAATAAAGCAATAGCGAATAGAGTAAATTTCCGTGTATGCCTTTTGAAAAAATTATTAAACGTTCCTCACATTCTATGCACAAATCCTCAAATTGTCTATTCCTAATAATTATTTGAATCTCACTGAAATATTCGCTGCAACATTGCAGAACGGAATCCCTCGTGCAACTTACCAGAACTACACATTGGCATTCGATGGTATAAGCGAGTTCACTCTTTTTTTTTACCTATTATATCAGCACCCCTTCCAGCCCTGCCAGCCCTTCAATTCCGCCGATGGTAGCGCACCTTTATCCCTTTTCGCCGGAGAAGAAAACATGAAATTCATCATCAGCTGCAGTTCCTGCTGCCGCGAATGAGATGCGTTTCAGTCCTTTTTTTCCCCGATCATCCTCTCGCTCTTGGATCTTCTCACCATCCAAGCAGTATGATTATATTTCGCTCAAATACATCATTATAGTGTTTATTTGCAAGGGGGTTGTGCGTTTCTTGTCCTCCGGCGAAGGGTGAAAAGGTGATGCAATTGAAGAATCTCTGCCGCTGAGACGAATTTTTTAACAATTTCTCTCTCTCCCTTCTTTGTCACCGTCTCAGTGCGTGTTTTTTGTGTATGCGTCCCAATCCCCAGATGCGAAGCTGAATCCAGGGGAAAGGAGGTCGTCTGAAAGAAAGTCTGCATCGGACGGGATTTTCGGCTGGCGAGATCCCCTTGAGAAAAGGGGTTATTGAACTTTGTGACGGTTTGAAATCTCATATGTGGCGTGGTGCGATTAAATCAGGGAAGAATTGAGAGCGTGTCGGTGAGAAATTCCTTGGGAACCGGAGAAACCAATCAAATGGTGTCATCAACGGATATTTGATGCAAAATAGACCGAAAAATGCCTCGCAGCGTCATTAATCACGGCTTCAATCGTCGGCGAGAGGCGCCAAAATACTCAGGGACAGACTGAAAACCCAGATGAGAAAATATTATGGCTTGAGCCCCCTTCGAAGCCTTCCCATTAAGTGGCAAAAATGTGAGGTTTCGCTTAACATTGCACCGGGGAAAAAATCCAGCATCCTTTCTGAGCCCTCAAAATCTCCCGAAAGGGGAGGAATGTACAAATTCGCTGATTTTTTTCATCAGATGACACACAATGATTTTTTGCGCGAGAAAAATTTCATAAATCTCTAGCTGCGGGACGGGGAAAGGCATCATTTTCGAGGAGGGGTGTTAAATGTGAAGGCAATTCAATTCGCCGTGTTGCTTTTTTGCCTGCATTCATGTAACTAAATTAATTGGGCCTCTATTGAATTACTGCCCTCCCTCGCTCTCCACGTCAATTAATGGAAAATCAAACATGGCCACATACAAAAATGCCCCCGTGAGTTTTCGATCCCCTGAGATTCCAGGACAGTCAATGATGAAATTTTCTAAATTACCTCGAGCTTTGTCTCTAAATTCACAATTCCTCGGGGAAAAAAAGGTGTTCCAAAAATGCGCCACGAAATCAGTTGAAAAATCCTTCCCTCCTCGACATCATCGTCCCTTCGCTGCGCCTTCCATGCGTGGAAGATTAGTGCGATGAGATCGGAAAGGATGCGAACAAAAAAGCGTGGAGTTGCCTCGCCATACGGAAATCCGTCTGCAGGCGCTGCAGCGGTTTAAAGAGCGAACGAGGGATGAAAGAGTGAAGCCATGAATTAAAATTTATTGTATTGTTGAAAATTGTTCAACTTTTGTATGTCTTTCACCCCTAAAAAGTCGTCTGATGTTCCACTTCACACACATTTCGAGGGCACATTTTGGCGCCAAAACCCGTTCGACCTGCTTTACCATGAACTTTCTCAATGTGTCTCGACTACGAGTTTAGGCATTGTTGTGAGCCATCCCGCCAATATCGAATTCTCGGCCCGAGAAATTCACACAAAAGTGCCAAAAATTTCCACACTCTAAATAAAAGTGGCAAATTTTGCGAGTTTCCTCACTTTCGCTCTCAAATTCCATGCAAATCGATGCTAATCGCATCATAAGTCACATAAGATTAACTCGCGGTTCAAGTTCAATGAGAATTTATGGCCTTATTTACTTTATTGCCCAGTTTTTTCACGTCTCTCACTGATTTCTGCATCGTTCGTAATATCGTTGAGTTCAAGCTAAAGTATTGCAAGGTGGTTTAGAAAGAGAAGTAACTTTGAGAAAGGTGAAGAATAAAATGGAAAAACATACCATATCAAGAATATTGATTTATCTTAAGTATTCCGTTGTCAGCTGAATTGATAAGATATTAACAAGGATATTAATTTTAAATGGAAATTTCAATGTATAATTAATTTATCTTATTTTAGAGAGAATTCAAACAATTAAAAATTTTTTTTAACAATTATTAAAAGTTTATATATCTCCGTATATGACTAAAATTTTACATGTTCACTTTTTTATTTCAAATTATAATTTACAAGTTTATTTAATAACATTTATAGTGGGCGTTCCATAAAAAAATTCCAAAATAATCATATTATATAAATCCGTGTTGTATACTGAAAATGTGTTCTTCGCTTATAATACTTTAACTTGTACCTGACGATATTCACCAGCAAATGCTCACGAGTCATTGAGTTACTGGGAGATTTTGCGTAAGATCTCAGTAAAATTTCGTCTTCCATACACTTATCAACTAACGTCTGTTTGCTTAGTGACGACAAGACACACCACATTTTGCCAGAGAGACGCTAAATTGTCCCCAATTTGAGAGATATTTTTGGGAGAAATGTGAGGAATTACAGTGAATTCATAACCCATTTCGTCAGTCTTGAAAATCTGAGCTTGGAAAAGCTGCAATGTACATCTTGTTTTTGCTGCATACCATTAAAAATGACCTGGAAGTTGTTTATTAGGTTTATGCGGTTTATGCAATAATGCTTTTAGAAGCTTTCTTGCTTGTTAAAAGTGATAAAATCCTCTCATATCGAGTTGAAAAATCTCCGCGGCCTCATTTAAGGGCGTTTTGCTTGAACTCTCTATTTTGGTATGTTTATTTTAATGAAGTATTCATTAAGCGGGCCCGTTATTGGGTCAGCGCACTCCGGAGAAGTAATTTTAGTAAATTGAGAATGACCGACAAAATTGTGCCTACAAAATTCACCTGAACAATGAATAAAAAATAAAAGTAAGAATCTTGAGTCAGAGTTTGAGTCAGAACTCAAATTGTCAGATCGAATCAAAAGATCGAATCTCCTGAAGATCTAATAACATGAATTCCTGCACACAAAATCACCAGGCTGACAGTGTGTAAAGTCATATCAGAACTTGAATCAATGGTTGAACTTCATTTTCTTATCAAAAAACAAGGCTTTTGTGTCGCACATGGAAGTGATATGCCAAGATTTGTGGTCAAATTTCACCTGATCGCCATTCTGGGGACCTTGTGATCAGCCCACGGCCTTCCATCACCACCTAATCTAATCACGGAGGATTCGGGCGGGCGCTGTGACGCGCCCGGAAGAAAATTTCTGGGCTCAAAGAGCACAACTGCGGCACAAATGGTCGGGGATGCGACAAAGCGCACCGTCCATTGCACTCAATCGATAATTCAGGTGCGCCTGGGAAGTCGGTGAATCGTGCCGTGAACTTCAGCCGCCCATCGATTGGCCGCCAGTGGACGTGAAACTGTGCCCCACTGTCGACGCCGGCTGAATGAATAAATAGTGGTGGAGCTCATTGATCGACGGACTCCATTGTTTGCGATAATGACTCTTGCACTGCCGCGTCCAAGGCCCAGAGTTCGTCTCCTCCCATGGCGAGCGGTGATCTCGTGCGGAAACGCAACCAGTCTCACTTCCACAGGCGGCGACTCTTCAAATGTGCTCTCAAATTCGTCTGGAGTGGCTGGGCGAGAGTGGATAGACGCTCGCGGGGAAGTTAATTGGGACAGCCAGAGTCAAGGCAGCGTCGTGCTGCCCACAAAGTACACTGTGAGAGAATTGCTTACGCTGGGAAGGCACACGTGGCCCTAGGAATCCGCTGAATACCGTGTTTAGCAGCCAGTGTCTAATTACACCAAAGGTCTCCCTTGCTGAATAAAGTTGAAGCAATTAGATTAGAAACCTCTGAAGAGGTCAAATGGTTGGAAAACCCACATACTTTGCAAACCACTGAAAAATGCCTTGATTGCGACATTTATGTTAATCCTGTGACGTAGGAAATCGAGATAAAAATTTATAGGGAATTTAATTGTCTAATCTACAAAAACGTATCAAACTTCTCACGCTTGTGCAAAAAGAGATTCTCTCTTTCCCATAAAGAAACGTTTAATATTCTTCCAATTCTAAAATCACATTTTAAAATTATCATGTCGTAATTTAGTGTTAATTACACAGCAATGACGTAAGTGCATCTCAAACTCCATCAAAATGAGGAGTGATTAATTTTAAGACAATGCCTAAAGATACAGTATAATCTCATAATGTTCCAATTCTCCTAACTATCATTAAAAGTTTCGAACTAGTTGTAATTGCTCACGTCAATAGTTTCTCAACTTACAAAATTCTTTATGATATATGAAACGCATCATTAAACTCCACAGCAATAAACATAATCGTTAATGAATGCCAACGTGCGTCAATGTGCAGATATGAGAATTCTCGCATCGGCTGTTCTATCGACGCTTCGAGCCAGACAATTGTGCAATGTATTATTATTGTTTTTTAGGCGGGAAATGGAAGGCGCATCGATGAAAGAATGCGTAACGCGTACAGAGCGTGGCGCAGTTGCTTCAAGGTGAGGTACATCACTGCGAAGGAGTCGCCATGCCTTGGCGCTTGCGTCGCTGCGAGTCAGGAAAGATAAACAGTGAAACGTGGTCTTTCTCCGAGTGGGATTCTCGGTGCCAAATGGCATGAATTTGCGTCTCTGGCGATCTCGAGGCGCAAATCCATTCGGTCTTTTGTGATTGACAGACTCAGTGAGGGCCACAAGTCGAAGGTATTGAAGCAGTGTGACCTGAAAATCTTCCCGAAAAAAATCTCCAATTCCCAGCAAATTGTCGGTATTTTTTGTGCCCCTCTCACCGTGCCTATCTCTATTCCACCCAGATCGTGAAATGTGTGAATTCAACACAGGCCAAGTGCTGTTTTGAAGTGTGCGGCGTTCGAGTGTGTGGGATTGTGGGCTTGGAGATTGTGTGTGCGTTCTGGGGGGACTGCATTCGCCTTGCGGACTACAATATAATGTATTTTTGTTAAGAGGCAAGCTCGTCAGTTAGTCGTGGACTTGGGTTGGTGCGGTTGAGTTTTGTTGCTCCTCCGGGTTCTTTGCTGTGCAAAATTCCTGCCGCTTCGTTTTTTTGGTGTCAAGTCACCAAATAAATCTTCTAGAAAGCGGATAGTGATTTTCAAAGGGAGATCAGCAAACAGTGATCTTGTGGCAATTTAAGGCTCTCTCGAGATCGCGCATTCTTCAGTATTTCAACGGAGAGAATCAGCATATTGATAAAGTGAGTGTCGAACAGCACATTTAGAGAATCTCATTTGAAAATGTAATTACTTGAGTCGCTGCGGTGGAACGGCGATAAGAAGGAACTTTCGCTCCTAAAGCGCGCGATTGATGAGTCAATGTGATAAAAAAACACAGTATATACGACTTTAGCCGCTTTACCCACATTTTATCAAGACGTGTCACGAGTTTTGAGTGGCCAAAAACTGCAGGAATTCTGCTGGAGAACATGATCCCATTTTGCCAAAAGAGGTTTTAGCCAGTCTTGGTGGCATTTCAAGATAAGTTAAGATTCAAGTGCGTGAATCTCGCAATAGTGACGCAATGGTGTGACTACGTGTGATGGTGAAAAATAGCTGTGTGATAAAAATAAACCATCTTGCAAGATGTTTCACGCACTCTTCGTCAATTTTCTCTTTCATCCTCAATCATATGATGCTCCTCCGCCTCCCCCGCAAGCTCTCAATTACAATCTACTTCTCAGACCCCGTCACACTCCCTATCCCGCTCTCCACACGAGACGTTCCGCCTTAGAAATCATCCCAAAAATATTTACCCGAAAAGCGCGCGAGACTGACCTTTTTAATGAACTCAAAAAGGCCCAAATAGCAATTAATGGCAAACATGAGTGTAGAAAACATGTTTATCGACCATTCTGGGACTTTGTTCATGCTGTTCATGCCCGAGAATGTGGCTTTTCTTAGCGAAATTCCTCTCACATCACACATTTTCCATGTTTTATCTTATCGATTTGGGCCAACAACGGAAATTGTCCGATAAAAGTTCACAAACTACAGTCAATGCAACACTTCACAATTGATTACCATGATTTTCCACTCGGCATTCGTAGGGCTTTGTGGATTTTTCCACTCTGGGCCACACGCACTTGTTGCACGCTGTGAAAACTCACGTGGTCCAAGAACGTCCTCATCAATTGATTTGTCAATTGCACACTTTTCAATTGACTCAATTCATCGGGTGGTGTTCTTATCGATTGGCATGTGTTCTTCGTGGTCAATTCAGTTGAATCACAACTGAAAAGGCGGGTTGTTAACCTTCCGAAAAGCCTTTCCGCGCGCGCCTCTGTGTCGAAGGGTGGGCAAATTACAATTTCCGAGTTCACCCAAAAACGATAGCGAAAGTGTAATTGACGAGTTCATTATATGCCTTCTTCAAATCGCGCTCCAAAAGGGATTATCATCGATGTAAGAATGAACATGATTTTCCATGGAAATTCTTATCGCCTAATTGAGTTTCATTTGCATGTTGTAATTATGGGAGGACAAGTTTATTTGCTGCTCTTGACTTCTACATTAGGTCACATGCGGCCTTGCAAAAGGAATATTTTCGAAATTACATAATTTCTGATCCATCGCACGATCTGAAAGTCACGATCCTCCATGTAAGGTCGATACTGCAACTTTTGGCAATTATATAAGATCATTTCCAGAAGTGCCCATAAAGATAATGTGTCCACTGTTCGCCCACTTAAGCACCCCTCGAAGTGTGTCATTCAGCTCAATTAACTCTGAGATTCATCATTCAGACTCTCTTGCATCACAGAACGACAGTCTCTCGTGTGCGATAAGGCAAATCCTGCGGGTGACAAAGTCATCTCAGTTGAACTTCCCAAAACTCTGACCTCGCCGCGGGTCAGCGCGAGACAATGCGAAGGAATCAGTGGCCCGTGTCTCGTCTGACTCCAAGAAGTTTTCTTTTCAATTACACGTTGTGCGGCATGAGAAAATGTGTGTTATGTAACCGTGTATTTAAATATTTGCCGAGAGGCCCGAAGACGCGATTCATTGCTGCATGTCCACTTGACACCATCCATAAATTCTAATAAATAATTTATCAGCGTATCTCTCGATAGATTGACCTTCATGCGATATGACATGGGTTTGTGCGAGAGTGGCATCTTTCTGGGGCGGGAAATGCCACCAGTCTTTAGCGCTGGAGAACCTCAATCTCCAGCCAGAAGACTGTGACCTTATCACCTGGCCACGTGCCGCATATTCCAACCTGTTTGCCGCTCATTTACATTTTAATGCTGCACACTTTAATTGATATCTAGATTCTAAAGTGACGACTTATTCTGAAAATGCATCGAGTGCGAAATGTGCTACTTTTACTGGCCAATTACACTGCAAGTTGCGTCATCGACAGTTTTAGTCCATCAGCGAAAAGTCATGCCAAATCTCATGATTCCGATTCAATGGAAATTATTGATTGTGCCTTGCGTCAGATAAATTGAAAATCTCTAGCTTAATAGATGTAATTCAGATAAACTGATGCATTTCTAATTCAAAATCTTATTTGGAATCTTGCAATCTTGAGAATACCTGCAAAATTCTTCTGGAATTAATAGTTCTATATAGTTTATGGAAAAATTTATATCGATTTTATCAGTTTTTCGATAGTTCAAATTGATTAGATTTCAATATCAGAGTCAATTATGTTTAACATATAAAATTTTGCACTATAAATAAACATGAATAATGTAAAAACCTTCAAAGATTAATCATAATTCATAGTTAGAAGTCACTTTAGTGGGTAAATTAATGCAAATTTTCACACAGAATAATATTGTTTCGTGTCAATAATTTCCCAAGCTTTGATTGCAAGTCGCGTTAATTTTCATTAAGAGCGAGTGTGAAAACTTCTTTTAGGGACTGTTGAAGTGCACTTAATGGAACTTGTTGCTCATTTGCTGTTTCCACCGTTTCCAAGTAAAAGTTGACACGCGATTTAATGCCATTGCTAATGAGGAAGAATAATGCATGTGAGAAGCAATCAATTGCAGATCAGTGGACAAACATAAATAGAATTGTTGTCTGTAGAGATTCACACTTTTTTCCAATTTCCTCCACGTGACAAACGTGCGGAGGAAATTGGCAAATCGAGTTGAAATTTTGCGCGGAAATCTCATAAAATTGCGTCAAGGTTCGCGTTCAGACACAATTTTCTCGTGGCGAAACCTGAAATAGAACACATCGCGAGTTGAGATGCGAAAAATGACCCTCTTGGCCGACGTGACGCAGAAGCGCGGGAAGATTTCGCGTGAAGATGACCAAAATGCTGACCTTGTGGGAATGTGGTTTCGCTGGGCGGAATGCGATTAATCAGACTCACTTTTCCAGCTATTCAGCTTTGGGGCGAAAGTGTTTGCAGTGCTTTGAATTTTCGCCAATCGATCGCGAAAGTGATCGCACAAGTTTGAGGGGGCCTCGCGTGAAGTGGGAAATGCCTCGGGGATCTCTTCGACTGAAAGCGTGCTTATCATAAGCCTAATACTTTGTGCACACAAAGTCAAACATCTCCCAATAAAAGAGTTACAGTTTGTTGATAAGAGTACAGCATTTTCCTTATCGGAAAGTGTGGCTGAAGTTCGCTCTCGCACGGAATTTCCCTATGGAGATTTTTATTGCTGCGAATGAGGGAAAAATATTTGTGGAGCTCTTGAAATTTGTTCAAAGTGTTGCATAATTTAATCAATACATGAACTTCCAGTAGGAAAATCTGGCAGAACAGATTTTAGGGCGTCCCAAAGCACACAACACCTGCGCAAAGTGGGGATTAACGAGTAAACTAACAACTACATTGACCCACATTGCCAAAAATCAACAACAACCCTTCATAATCTCTGACGAAAATATCTTTTGACTGTGGGATTTGGTGTGTGTGATAAACTTTCACGGTCTCCACGTCAATTCTTCACTCCAATTTAGATTATTTTCAAATTTTTAGCAACTTTTTCTTCCTCCAACCAACAAGGTTAATTTCTTACGTAACACTCTGTCACTAACAAACTTAATATTCACTTTTCCGTACATGTCGCTCTCATTTTTCGGGGCGACAAATTGCGTGGTTCTTTTTTACGCCTGTCCCCCAATATTTACAATCCTGTCATGCTTTATTAAATGTTGATAATTTTTTACACAATCCAGAGCATTGAGATTTGTCGCTATGAGATGATCATATGATCTTAAATAGTTTTTTTTTCTTTAATTCTGGGCTGTGCTTCTGGCGGACTTTGCAGTGTTTGAGTGAGATTTCGCCGGTGAAATTCCACGGCAAACATCGCAAAGCTACTGGCAAAGAAGTGAAGCTCACGTAAAAACAGTGATTTTCGTAAACACACTCTTTTTCAATGAATTTTCTCGCCTCCGAGCAAATTCCCAACCAAATACGAGAAACTAAACACACCCAGACACATCCATTGATAAAAGAGTTCACATGCTGATAATGATGCATTTTAAAGTTTGATGATCATGAGAACGCACGAGAAGTGCAGATAATGAATGAGCGAGAGTTACTGGCGTAATGGCTAGAATGAGCGTCATCAGTGTTCTTTTTATTTTAGAACATTCACAGCTCAATTGCCGCTGAGGGAAAAGTGGATCACGGCCTGTCAATATGCGTCGTCTATCTAGTGATATATTTTAATATTATGTGCCAGACATCAGACCATGCTAACGATGGTGTTTTGCTCTCTCCCGCCTGAAAAATTCAACGACATTTGCATTGAAAATGGATTACAAGGCTGACCCAGAAGATAGTTCTCCATTCTCTTCTATTCTTGGACACTCACGCACGTTTTGGGTGATCTTGAAGAGACCTTCTTGTCTTTCAGGACGCCTGAAAGGACTGGGGAATCGATTTTCCACCTCTTTTCCTATTCTCTATCATTTTCTATATGTGAGAAAGTTCAGGTGATTCCTGTGAGGTCATTCACATGCTTCGCATACCCTCGTGAATTTATACAAGTAAATGGATGGCAAAAAGACGATCGTGCGGTGAATAAACTATACTGAAAAAAACCAATTTGACAAAATCGACGGAAACGACGAATTTTCCATTTCCTCTGGAATATCACGAATTTTGTCTCCAGTGACACACAGTTGAAAAATTAAGCATTCAACCTATTTTCCAAATGAAAGAGTAATGAAAGGTGTTTTAGGTCATTTGGGGTGGTTATTGATTTACGTGGGCGCATGGGAAGTTCCTATTGATTGGGAGTGTTTTAAAAATGTGTTATGCTTTATATTACAGAGTGTACGGCCTCGTGGGTGAACGATGACGGACAAGATAAAGGAAGAGAAGCCGCTCAATGGCGATGAAGCCATCACGTGAGTTCATTTTATCGTAGGCACGATTTCAGGGCACATTTGTGACCATCGCGATATTCTTGCAGACTCCCCGAAAGGCCGCAGAGACCGATGACTTTCTGCCAGAGGTTTTCACAGTTCCTCTCGGTTTACTGGAGATCTTTGGTCGTGGTGTTCACGCCTTTCCTCCTCCTACCCGTCTTTCTGCTCAACGAGGGACCGGTGAGAATTTTTTTTTTAAACTTGGATGACGTCATGCACTTGAAGATGAGATTCATTTATGCAAATTCCATCACGCTGTTGCTATACTGTTTGTTTAATTCAGACGTACATATTTATGAATGAGGCTCGTGTTAATCCATTCCATCAATATTGAACAGCTGAGCGAAGGCTTCGTGGGAAATCTTCCGGAAGAAAGTGAACTTGACTGATCTTCTCTTAATTGCAGGCCTACAAATGCATGTACGTTGTGCTTCTGATGTCGGTTTACTGGGTCACAGAAGCTCTGCCCTTGGCCATTACTTCTATGATCCCAATGGTCCTCTTCCCCATCATGGGCGTCCTAGACACCGAAAGGACTTGCATGATGTACATGAAGGAAACCATGCTGATGTTCATTGGTGGACTGATCATCGCTCTGGCTGTGGAATACTGCAATCTGCATAAAAGAGTGGCTCTCAAGGTGATCTCACTGATCGGATGCAGTCAAAGAAGGTGAGAAGCTGAGTTATGCGATGAATTCAAGTTAGAGTTCCTCTACTAAATGCAAAAATCTTTGTCTAAGGTTTTGTATTTTTACTAGAACTCTCTACATACTACTTATGTATTCTACTATAGGAAAAAATGAGAAATATGAGGAAGAAATCGATATGTCCATAAATTCTTATTGCCTCATAAAAGCTTCCTCAATCTCAACATTCTTCTAGACATTCTTTACATTCTCAATCAAGTACATGCACAACTTTGATGAGGTGTAACCCAGATAACAAGAGGATGGTAGATAACCCAGATTGCTTGTTTCCAGATTAAACTTCGGTCTCATCACCGTTACAATGTTCGTTTCAATGTGGATTTCCAACACTGCAGCCGTGGCGATGATGTGTCCAATTATGCAGGCTGTCTTGGAAGAACTTGAAGCTCAGGGCTTGTGTAAGATGTTCCTTGACAAGCCAAAGACTGCTGAAGAGGAAGGTATGCTGGGCAAGGACAAGGTTGATGATGAACCCAAGAAACCCTCGAAGACAACGATTTGCTATTTCGTCGGCGCGGCTTACGCCTCAACTCTCGGAGGCTGCGGAACTATCATTGGATCTGGTACTAACCTCACCTTCAAAGGCATCTACGAGAGTCGCTTCCCTGACGCTCCCGGTCTGGACTTCCCCAAGTGGATGTTCTACAACGTCCCTGGAATGCTGATCTTCACTTTCTTGACTTGGGCTTACTTGCAGTGGGTTTACATGGGACTCTTCCGTCCCAACAGCCCTGAAGCCAAGGCCTCGCAGCTCGGAAAGGAAGGCGAAGCTGTGGCCAGATCCGTCATCGAGACTCGCTACAAGGAATTGGGCCCCATGAGTTCTCACGAAAAGGCTGTGGCTTTCCTCTTCCTTCTCTCGGTCGTGCTCTTCTTCACGCGCGCGCCAGGATTCATGACTGGCTGGGCCGAGGCGCTCACGGACATCAAAGTCAAGGACGCAACGCCGGCGATCTTCATCGTGATTGTGCTGTTCATCATCCCGGCCAACTGGAAGTTCCTGAACTACTTCAAGAGCCGCGCCACGGCCGCCATGCTGCCCAAGACGCCGACTCCTGGTCTCATCACATGGAAGTACATCCACACCAAGGTTCCATGGAGTCTCATTTTCCTACTGGGCGGTGGATTTGCGCTGGCCGAAGGCGGTCGCGAGTCTGGAATGTCTAAGCTCCTGGGCAACTCTCTGTCTGGCCTGAAGACTCTGCAACCTCTTTTGCTGCTCTTTGTCGTCTGTCTCACTGCTTCTTGTCTCACGGAATTCACCTCTAATGTTGCTATCGCTAACATTATGCTGCCAGTGCTGGCGGAAATGGTAAGGAGAGTGTAGTCAATATATTAAAAAGTATCCTAAAATGTGGATTTTATTACCAGGCCATCGCCATTGAAGTTCATCCGCTCTTCCTGATGTACCCAGCTGCCTTGAGCTGCAGCATGGCTTTCCACATGCCAGTCGGAACGCCTCCGAACGCCATCGTCGCGGGAGTTGGCAACATTGCCACTAAAGATATGGTAAGATAAGTATATCTTCATAGCTTTGACGCATCTTAGAGAATTTCTCTGCATTGATAAGACGCGCTAAAGTTATATTTAGAAAATCAGGAATGTTGCTTACGCCTCTCCTCACGAAATTGTTTATTAATTGTGGTTGAAGAGGTATATTGTTGACTCTCTTATGAACTTGGTGTGGTTTTAGAGACTCCTTCAAGTTCTAAACTCTCTGTAAAATTCTCATATTTGCTAGGGAAGTTTGTTGCAAAAGAATACGCAAAGCGAGAGTAAATATTTAGAGACCATTGAGATGAGCAAAGATTGACGAGATGTTTGACCTTGCCTAAGAAATAAAAATACAGCTGAAATTGACACACATGACGAGGAAATAAGAAGAGAATTACCGAAATTCTTCTGTATTTCTAGGCCATCGCCGGAATTGGACCAACGATCTTCACGCTGATCGTTGTGTGGGCCAGTTTTCCCACTTGGGGAGCCGTTGTCTATCCAGAACTCGCCACTTTCCCTGACTGGGCAAGACACGGTGTTGTCGAGGAGGTCGTCGCAGCAGTCAATTCCACCCTCACATAGGAAGTTCACAGCCCTCAAAACTCTCTTCAGGAGCGTCAAAGGAAAGTTTAGTCGCTGCATTTGTCTCATGAGGATTTGGCAGAATCGGCACGATTTTCAGTGTGCCCATTGTGTAGTGTCCAAACCGACTTCTTATCTTATTGTTTAAGCAAATTTTAGAAGCGTGGTGAGAAACACCCCAAAAACTATTTAAATGCGACGTTATTCTTAGCATTCAGCAGATCCTTTTGCCTTCAGGTGCGCGTGTCCTTTAATTAAGTGCAATTAGGATTCATCTTATGTATATTCAGATCACTCAATGTGCGAAATGACATTTTGAACATTTGCTCTTCGGTGCGGGCTTTTCCCACATTTTTGTGGGAAAACGACCCCAATTTGGGAAGATGGCGAGAAATATGTTTTAGCAATAATATTCTTATTAAATTAATAGTAGATTCACATCATGAAAGCATTTACTTAAGCTGGCGTCTTGAAGAAAGAGTACAGAATACTAATAACTTGAAATGAGGAGAAAACTCAAGGTCTGTCTTCCATATGTTCCACCCAGATTGTTCAGCACACACTTTGGGTGTTGTTTTACTTGGATTTTATACTGGGGATTTCAGCCTGCAAATGAAATTGAAGTGTCTTTAGCAAGAAATAGAGAAATGATGGCATTCAAGCATGAAAAAGTGTGTTTGTGGACAATAAAGTCACTTTTTCCTGTATGCTCAAATGTTATAGAATGTACATATTTTTTCTATAATGAAATGTGAAATATTTTTGTAATGAAACCGATGAAAAACCATGTTTACAGAGACATTTTCAGGCGGAATTTTATGTACACAGGAAAACACCGATATTAATAATTGTTAAAGTTGTCACAGTGATATAGAAGTAGAATATTTAGCGAATAAAGAAGGAGTATCTAAAGGAAACTGCCTTTTATTCGGTTGTCTTTTCGACTAGTTCATAGCTAAAAATAAGATATCTTTTTGTTCAGAATCGATTTGTCTATACAAATCTAAAAGCTCTAACCAAACAATATAAAGAACAAATTGAGTCTTTCGCTTAATGCGATAATTTTGACAGACTTTCCAGTGTTTGAGAGAAGATTTCGACGCTGAAATTCTACCGCAAACACAGCAAAGCTTTTGGTAAAGAAGTGAAGCTCACGTAAAAACTGTGTGTTAATTGCCGTTGGGATTTCGTAAATATTTCTTTATTCAATGAATTTTCTCGCTTTCAAGCAAAATTCCTATCCACATACGTGAATGAATGATGACGGACAAGATAAAGGAAGAGAATCCGCTCAATGGCGATGAAGCCATCACGTGAGTTCATTTTATCGTAGGCACGATTTCAGGGCACATTTGTGACCATCGCGATATTCTTGCAGACTCCCCGAAAGGCCGCAGAGACCGATGACTTTCTGCCAGAGGTTTTCACAGTTCCTCTCGGTTTACTGGAGATCTTTGGTCGTGGTGTTCACGCCTTTCCTCCTCCTGCCCGTCTTTCTGCTCAACGAGGGACTGGTGAAAATAAGCTGAGATTTGTAGTTTTCCGATTATTTCAGGTCTTTTCTCTAATGCAGGCCTACAGATGCATGTTCGTTGTGCTTCTGATGTCGGTTTATTGGGTCACAGAAGCTTTGCCTGTTGCTATCACAGCTATGATGCCAATGGTCTTGTTTCCAATAATGGGTGTCCTAGAAACCGACAGGACTTGTATGATGTACTTAAAAGAAACAGTTGTAATGTTAATTGGAGGCGTTATAATTGCTTTAGCCATAGAGTATTCAAATCTGCACAAAAGAGTGGCTCTCAAGGTAATCTCACTGATCGGATGCAGTCAAAGAAGGTGAAATACAACTCAAGTAAATAAGAGTCAAGTTGATAACACAATTTACTTATCCAGATTAAACTTCGGCCTCGTCGCTGTTACCATGTTCGTGTCGATGTGGATTACAAACATTGCAGCCGTAGCGATGATGTGTCCAATTATGCAGGCTGTACTGGAAGAACTTGATGCCCAAGGATTGTGCAAGATGTACCTCGACAAGCCACATAATACCGTTGAAGAAGGCGATGTTCAGGATGAGGCCAGAAAGCCTTCGAAGATCACCATTTGCTACTTTTTGGGAGCGGCCTATGCCTCAACTCTCGGAGGTGCTGGAACTCTAATCGGCACTTCTACAAATCTCACGTTCAAAGGTATTTACGAAAGCCGTTTTCCTGATGCTCCCAGCCTAGATTTCCCCAAGTGGATGTTCTACAATGTTCCTGGAATGCTGATTTACACTATTCTCACCTGGGCGTATTTGCAATGGCTCTTTATGGGACTCTTCCGTCCCAACAGCCCTGAAGCCAAGGCTTCGCAGCTCGGAAAGGAAGGAGAGGCTGTGGCCAGATCCGTCATCGAGATTCGCTACAAGGAATTGGGCCCCATGAGTTCTCACGAAAAGGCTGTGGCTTTCCTCTTCCTTCTCTCGGTCGTGCTCTTCTTCACGCGCGCGCCAGGATTCATGACTGGCTGGGCCGAGGCGCTCACGGACATCAAAGTCAAGGACGCAACGCCGGCGATCTTCATCGTGATTGTGCTGTTCATCATCCCGGCCAACTGGAAGTTCCTGAACTACTTCAAGAGCCGCGCCACGGCCGCCATGCTGCCCAAGACGCCGACTCCTGGTCTCATCACGTGGAAGTACATCCACACCAAGGTTCCATGGAGTCTCATTTTCCTACTGGGCGGTGGATTCGCGCTGGCCGAAGGCGGTCGCGAGTCTGGAATGACAAAACTCATAGGGAATTCCCTTTCTGGACTCAAGAGTTTGCCTCCTTTGCTGCTGCTCTTTGTCGTTTGCTTCACCGCGTCCTGCATTACAGAGTTAACTTCAAATGTTGCCATCGCCAATATTATTCTTCCGGTTTTTGCGGAAATGGTAGATTTAAGAACTTGTGCTTTTACCATCTCAGTACAAATGATATAATATGTATTTACAGGCCATCGCCATTGAAGTTCATCCACTCTTTCTAATGTATCCAGCCGCTCTCTGTTGCAGCATGGCCTTCCACATGCCGGTGGGAACGCCTCCGAACGCGCTTGTTGCCGGGCTCGGTAATATCGCCACTAAAGATATGGTAAGACACAAGTATTTATTTTTAGAGACTTGATTAACAATAGATTTTTTTGTATTCACAGGCTATCGCCGGAATTGGTCCGACGATCTTCACGTTGATCGTCGTGTGGGCCAGTTTTCCCACTTGGGGAGCCGTTGTCTATCCAGAACTCGCCACTTTCCCTGACTGGGCCAAGGAAGAAAGTCTCGTGGAACAAGTCACCGAGATAATCAATTCCACTCTGACATAGAAGCCTCTGTTAATCTGTCTTATTAAATTAATGGTAGAATCTCGTGATGAATGTGCACGTTTTCTTCAATTCCTCAGCGACTCGCGCTCAAATTGCACTTTTCCTCTCTAAACTATTCAGTCAGAATGATGATTCATAAGTGTCTCAAGACGCTCCCAAGTTGTCGTCTTGCGAGTTATTCAAATGACCAATTGTTGCAACTTCATCCGGTTCACTGACATTGTTCATGGGCCGGCAGACAATCGATTTGCTCAGGTTTTAATGCAATTAGTCGACTGATTTTGTCCCAAGCGAAGATTTCACTTCCTAAAATAAGTAAGAAGTCAGAGGAAAAAAAATCTAATGAATGTTGATAGAGAAGCAACAACCTCTTAAATCTCAAATGACTGTCTTTGTCCCTCTCTGGATGCTAATAAGTCGAATATGCAAAAAAATTCTGTTTCTTAAAGTGTTTTTTTTTTTTGAGTGAACAACTTGAAAGTGCCGGGCTGAAACTAGTTTTGCAGAAGCCATTCTTCTAAGCATATATGGGAAAGATAAACTTTTTATGGCTGAGTTCAGAATAGGTATTTGATATGAAGATTTCCGCGTCTTCGTCAGAGACAATAAATAAAATTTGGATGTGTAAAATTTTTACAGAAAAAGAATATTTCTAACCAGAGTCTTTTCATCCCGAGTATTGTCTATTATATGTCTACAATAAATTTGAGTCCTGAATTATGATTATATCCTTCCAAGCCGTTCATAATTGAATGTGTTATATGTAAAAGCATTCGCTCCCTAAATGCTGTGCCCCTTGCGCGAGGCTTGCCTCAGTGACTTGTTGCTCATCCGGGTTACCGACTGCCGCTTCATTCAAGTCCTCAACCACGCAACCGCATCGTCTTTTCGCCCGGCAGATGTCGCGCGCGGCGTCGCTGTAAATCGTTTGCGCCGCTGGCAACGCGCTGTTTGGGCTGCGACCGTTGCCGCGTTGGATCGACATCGCGCTCAAAACCACTTTCCAGTTAGTGCGAGTTGAGCCATTGCCGAAGTCTCAGGTGCCCGTCGCGCGTGCTTTGTGTCCGCCAACAGTGATTCCGCGTGAGTGGGTGTGAGGTGCAGAGAAGCCCGTGCCTGAAATTCCGTGCCAACTGAAAGTGGGTGGCGAGGGTGGCGATTCCAGTACGCCCAGTGCAGATCGAAGTGTGAGTGCGTGTGTGTGGAATACCTCAATCTCAGCGGTTCTCAAACTGTCGCTGGGTGGATTTAATCGATTGCGTGCTGCAGGGATTTAAATTGATCAACGGACCCCGGCACGTGAAAGGTAAGGCCGAGATTTCCCGGCGTAATCCGGGGAGTTTTCTCCCAGAACCGGTATCTCTGGTGGGAAAATCCCACCCCGCTGCCCGCCTTGCGTGGGGCGCAGGTAAAAAAGCACACAAAGCCGCACCTGTTCTGTAAATAAATTTGTCATGTAATTCCTCTTGTGGATGAGCTCTTCAGGCATTCGCTGGGGTTTGGGGGTGGCTTGGGCTGAGGACTTTCCGCCATGCGAGGAGAAAAGAAGAGTGTATGTTGTGCAAACATCATCACTGGAATTCTCGTCGCACCTTTGCGCCACGTCTCGCCAGCGGATCAAGAATGTTCTCAGAGGTGCTTCGCTCCGGTGCAAGAGAATCGCTGGGGCCGAGCCGCGGTGTTGGTGTGGAGAAGTTCATATTTATTGTGTATGAAATGCGAAACCCAAACTCGTTTTCATCCAACAAATACTTGTTGATTTTGCCTTCTTTCGCACACTTTTGCGTCTGTGTGGCCGCCCAAGCGCCGCGAAATGCTGCGAACACGCGACTCATCCTCTGTCATATCTATGCAATTCTGCGCCTCGCCATCGAGAGTGGCTCAGAACCTTGTCTTCTTGTTTGTGTTCTAGAAAAAGACACACAATTTGAAAATAAAATTTGACTACATTTTATTCAGTATCTCAATTGCATAGCTTTTGAAATACTCTTCGGTAACAACATGATAATACATTATAAAGTATAATTTATTTATATTTAATTCATAAGGAATGTATCACATAGAATATTTATCTTTAACATTAGTATGGAAAGTCTATTTTACGAATTGACTTGAGCTTTTCCTTGCAAAAAGGACACACTTTTACACACGAGGCACAATTGTAGCACGTTAAGATGTGTCCACAAGGGATGAAAACTGTATTATATCGTTCGATGAAGCAAATTTTGCAGTATTTATCGTACAATAAACCAATTGATGATGATGTACGCTTTGTCTCAATCTTTGAAATCACATTATCAATAAAGACTTGTCCTTTGATAGATTTAACAAACTCACAGTATCGATAACTCTGAATATGCTTTTCCCATACGCAATGATTTTCTTTCCAATTCAGTATTGAAGTGCCACAGGTGAAACAAGAAACTCTGTCTTTCTCTCCTGTGTAGAAAAATCCTGCATCGCACAATTCCATAAAGCTTTTCTTGAAATCGTATGACCAATTTTGAAAGGTTTTCAACCGTTCGTCTTTATTCCAGTATTTTGGATGTTCGCATTGTGTCATTTTATTAGTAGGTTTTGGGGTAACATCAACAACTTCCAGTTTTTCCACTCCAAGTTTTTTTGTAAGGTTAACAAAAATGTGCCCTTTCATAGCTTTTACAAACTCACACTTGTATTCGGAATTTCTGCAATGTAATTTCCAAAGACATTCTCTTTCACTCAATGAAGATAGAGAACTTCCACAATGAAAACATGTGACTTTATCATTTTCTCCCGTATAGAAGAATCCTGATTCCGACAATTCTTCAGGGCTGCGTTTGAAATCTAAACACCAATTGTGGAAAGATTTCAAGCGATCTGACTTATTCCAATATTTAGGATATCTGTATATTATTGCTTTGTTCAGATCCTGATAAGTCGAATCATTCTCATCTCTGACAATTTTTCCCCCGTTCTTTAAAATCTCTTTGATGTTGTCTATAAAATGCTGTCCCTTTTTAGATATCAGAAATTCGCATTTATCGTTGTACTTGACATGATCTTTCCATGGGCAATCTTCTTCGTTCCAATTCCAAATGCCTTGTCCGCAACCAAAACACCTAACTAAATCCTTCTCTTCTATATCACCTGAGTAGAAAAATCCCGCTTCTGCTAATTCTTCAGGGCTTTTCTTGTAATTGAACGACCAGTTTTGAAACGACTTTAAGCGATCTGACTTATTCCAGTATTTGGGATGCTCTGCATTCATGGCTTCTTGTGTTATTGCACGATTGTCAATGGGTTTGTAAATTCACCTCGGTATATAAGGGTTTACTGATATTAGCTGTGAAAGTAAATGAACGCTTTTTATACACATTTCACTGTAAATCCAATATTTTATTAATCACTGTGTTCTAAAAGTTTATTCTTTAAAGTAAGTAGTATTACCTATTATATATAATGAATACTTCTTTTTGAATTTATTTTTTACCAATATTGTAATCTACATTGAACTGAACGAGTTGGAAGCTAATTCTCGACTGAAATAATATCAAGAAATATATATTATGTTATCTAATCTTAGGTAGAATACAGGAAAAGATAATACGCTATCAAATCTTGAGTTGTGTTCGGTAGAGGCAGGGTGATCGTGAATCACATTTCGAAAAATTAGTTGGCTAACCATATCAATAATCTGAATTAAAAAATAATTTTATTATTATTCTTTGACAAGAAATATTCAATAGTGTTGGTATTGCAAAGAAATTACTTTGTTCAATTTCGCTTTGCCTATTTTTTTTCTGTTCCAAATATCTAGAGACTTTGTTTTGATAACACTTCCATAGAGGTTGAGCTCATCATTTGTATTATGCAGATCGGCTTCTTACCCTCATTCTCTTCATCTGCTCAATGCAGTGCCCTTTAAGTCCCGGCAATCTCTGACCACTTTCACTTGTTGGGAGTGGCCGCTTGTTTCACGACCTCAGACATGGCGCCGCGAGTTTCCTCGACGGAATCGCGGCATTTTCGCACACAGCCAAGAGTCCGCAACCGGTGTGTTGCTGACGCGAAGGTTGCCTGAATCACTGAGTCCCCGCAGAATTAAATGGCTGTTGCAGCAACACACTTTTGCAGCGAACACGCAGCTTCTTTAATGGAACATCCATCAGCATTCATTATGAATTGATGCCGTAGCTGAAGTATTAATGGAGAATGATAATTTATGCAAAATGCCCGCCCGGGAAGGGTTCTAAACTCATTAGAAATTCACTTTAGTTTCCAACGAGCAACCTGTTGAACTGAATCTATCGGAATCTGCGAATATTCCATGAAAATTCATTACACTGATATTCATCGGAAAATAAGTGCTATCATTGAGACTGAAGGTAGCAATTAAAATGCATCTGCCACACGCTAAATATCTCCTCTGTGACCTCTAGGAGACTTCTGTGCATAAAATATTGATCGTCTTGCATTTACCATGGAGTTCTATCGATTGTCACATCATCATTTCAACTTATGACATTGTTCTTCAGAAATAACATGACACCGCTTCAGTGGAAAACCACCCGTTTGAAATAAACTTGCAGCAATGAGTAAAACTTCAGCGGATTGTTTTCACACCTCGCTCCACTTTAACATTGTGCAAGAAGACATAAAATAATAATAATAATACCAGTATTTTGTGTTAATAGAAACGCACTCGAGTTGACATAAAATGCAATGAATGTGGTAAAAATCTTTAGTAAAACGCCCCTAGTTTCTACTATAAATTACCACTAATGCACATTTAATGCTGTTGATGCTGTTCTTGTCTGTTCCTGCCACTCTGTGAAATGTTAATTAATTGCATAAGCAGAATTCCCTCCATTAGGGTGCTGACGAGGGTGAGTTTTGGTTAGTGGGTGAAAATTTGACCTATAAAGTGTTGGGAACTTTATACACTCTGGAATGTAGCGTGAATTCCATGGAGTAGGAATTATTATTTCCGATGAAAATGTCACTTTTACACCACATTCCGAGCCACTTAATGCTTGGCCATCATCATTAGTGTGGAGCGAAACGTGTAACTCGACAAATGAAGGGAAAAGTTTTGAATGAATGTTTTAAAAACATTTCGCTCGTCCTTCAAAACGTGCAGTTTGTCAATAATTTTCACATTATTGATTTCCCTATTTTGCTTACCAACAACACGATCCATTCCTAATGTCTTCGACAATTTCCTGGCAATTTCTTCTATCATTCAGCAGTGTTATCTTGAAAATTTCCCCCTGACGAGATTTATGACGATGGAGACACTCAAGGTTCTCTTTCTTGTGCTTCCATTCATAAACTTCTCCTCCGTCGAAGGCATGTTCGTGATACAATGACTGGCATTCGATTGAGTCTCCATGTGAATCATCTGGCGGACAGAAATAGCCACCGAATGCAGTGGAAATCACTCGAGGAAAAACATTCCTGATCTCATTGTTTAACGCCACCACGTGTCGATATCTCAATCTGCTCCTCTCCGCTGCCATGAGCGAAAACTTTCCCTCTTTTGAGACTTCCGCACGTCGACTTTTCGGTCACAGCAGAGCGGAAATTTAGGGCGATGCACCAGAATTTAAATGAGACTGCAGCACAAACCACGGAGCTTTCAAGCATGAAAATTAACTCTCCTCCAGCGGGAGTGAGAGAACATGAATCTTCACTCATTGCATCACACAGTAAATTTCACTGGACTTGCAATTCGCCAACAATAATCGCTTCACGAATTAATCTGAATGGAGAGAAATGGAGAAAAAAATCAGTTAGGTGGAATATTTTAGTTTTAATTGCAACCGACTTCGAGCAATTTAATCCCATCTAATTTTACGTCTTAATTGCTCTAATTAAGACTTTCCTAGCGCGCCTCTCTCCAAGCCGAAATGCAAATTCCGCCCATAAACTACACCCAACTTTGATAAAGCCAGAACCTCTCAAGAGAGCCGCAATAATGAGATGTGCGATAATTGATTTCCCGCATCGAAAGGTGTTGCTGATCGCAAGGTGAGATGGCGATTGAAATGTAAGACAAGAACCTCAGGTGAACCTTCTGGTTTTTTTCCACACCGAATTTTCAAGAGAGTCTCAGATAGTTCTTTATGCCACTGCCTTGTTTCACGGTTGAGTGATTTAGATAAATTATAGCGGTGTATTCAACACTTTTCGTGTGGCCAGTAAATTGCGAAATTGAAGATCATGCGGTTCGCTAAGCTAAAGTGAAAAGTGTGTATTTCTGAAAGTTCTTCTTCCGGTCGAAATTTCGCAGAGAAAATCTGTGAAATAGAGAAATTAAGAAATGTGGTATAAACACATTTTCAACTTTGCTTATAAGTAAACTAGGACTTTATGTCGAAATAGAAATGACTAAGAATTGTAGTTGTTTAATCTAAAACGCCTGTAATTTTCAGTCAAAGGGTTTTTCTTTCGCTTCATTCTGACCGTTAGAATTTTCTGTGATGGCAATGGATGTAAAAAAACAGGGCGGAAGATAAAGAAAAAGACTTTGTTCAATGAAAATTTTTATGAATAGACTTCATTTTCTCAAGAGTCATCAAAAGCAAGAGATGACTATCTTAAATTACTCAGCAAAACATTGCGAAAAAATACTCATTACTTGGCAAATTACCAATTATATGCAATTCCAATTGATATCTCTCGAAACACGTCTCAATTTCCTGCCTTTAGAGTGATCTCACGAGGTTGACAGTTCACGCTACTCCAGGGAGATCACTTAATCCGATGGGGTTTTATAGTGTTCTGGGAATGCACGCGACTTTTGTGATCTCCGCTGGTCGTTGCAAAACTCAGAAGGTGATATTCTACGCAGTTTTTGCACTTGACTCGATGTTGTGCAACATGTGGTGCTCTTAATTGCGGCGATTCTCTGAGTGTCTCATTAGTCATGAAGCGCGTAAAGGCAAAAAGGCAAAATCTGGATTTATTGGTGTTCACTTGCCAGAGATTTCTTCTGGCGGGAAAATGTTTCCCCAACTGTTCGGCATGGTGTGGAAAATAATGGAGCAACCTTGCGCGATTGTTTGTACATTTGAGCATTAGCGAAGTCGCGAGGGGACATGCGACATGTGGGCGGCGACAATGACTTTAATTAATTATTTATGAAGAAAACAAATGTGCCGGGAAAAGAATTCTGTGCACACATGAGACGACATGTAATGAAATTCGGTGGGAAACGCGCGCTGTGTGACACTCCAACATTGCCGAGTCGCCGAAATATCGATACACCTGCGCGGAAATTAATATAATTTTCGGTGGCATAAATTTCACATCCATCCAGGAAGATTGTGATTGATAAGGCGGCGTTTTTGGGGTGGGAGAGCGACAGAGTGCTGTTATCTGACACTATAATGTGTCCATTGAAATTCTCCTCCTTCCCAACTCAGCGACAGTGAATGGCAAGTTGATTCAATTAGCATCATAATTATTTGATCTCGTGGCGTCGCTACGTATTACTCCCAATACATGACAATCGTTAGTCATCAATTTTGATCATCATCTGCGCATAAATAGGACAAAGACTCTCTCTGTGTTTTTCCCGCAGAAACGCATTCCGACGATTCGGTGTTTGGCAATCTGACCCTCACATCCACTGGAGTTAACTTTTGTCCCCAAAAAGATGCGCTCAGTTCAATCATATTAGTCAAATTGGCCCCACGAGTACTCATGTGAACTTGCCCATCTGGCCAATTACGCGCGCATTGCGCAACTTGGCTGCATTTCGCTGCGACTTTCCGCGGCCAATTCCACAAACCGCTACCGAGTGACTTTTTTCGGGATGGCCAGGCTATATTTATGCAGGCGTTCACTCAATCAATATGACACGATGTGGGAGACCATCAAAGGACGACACAAATAGCAACTTGCAAGATTGATCCAAACTTATGTCTTCATTGAGTAGAGTTGAAATTTGATGCGAAGACTTTGGTAGATTGGAGAAAAAAAATAATAAACCTTATCCTCTACAACAGAATGAATTCGCATAATCAACAAAATCAATTTGCTCTTTTATTTATTAAAAGTAAAAAAAATACACAAAAATTTCTTGAAACATATCTTGTAACTGCAATATCTTCAACTCTGCAGTTACTAAGCACCTTTCCTGTAGACATTGCGACCCTCTTTTCCCTAGAATTGCTCTATGTAAAAGTTTGCCCCTTGTGAGCTTTGCCGGTGAATGCGACAAGCATAAAGTTGAGAGAATGTGTCATGAGACACCCACAAGACGAATGATTGTGTATGACAAGGCATTGGGGATGCTTTTAATTAATTCTCAGTGCGCAATTTTTGCCATTGTGTCATCTCTCGCAAGAGTGAAAACTTTTTGACAATCAATTGTTTGAATTCCATTAAGACGGAAACTTCTCCATTGTGGCTGAGACTTGGAACAAAGAGCGCGCACACCTCTTCACTAAACCACCCAAGGGGAAAAACATGACTATTTTCTCCTATGTAGGTCAAACTCACTCCCCCTGACACCTGACTTTTGT